TTGAAAAATAAGGTTATCACCAACATTGCACAGGCGATATTACTTTAAGTATTAACTGACCTGTAATGTTTAACTTTCATGTAATTATCAATTTAATACTTCTTACAGAAATCAATTTTAGTTTTTAACTGTTATTTAGAGGACATCATTGTGTAAAACTGGGAGAATCAAGAAAAAATGCACTGGGCATTTTACAATGATGAACATTAAACAAAAATATAAATATTTGTAATAATAGAATATCTTGGAATATTTTGGATCAAAATACATAACACTGATTTATTTTAAGGTATGGAAGCCTCTATCGTCCATTATTCAATTATTTTCTTTAGGGGAAAAAACCCTTCTCAGATGCTCAGAGCACTTCTAGAGAATATTGGAAATTTTTTTATTAAAGTCATCAAATTTAAAACACAGAGCCGTTATACATCATCATGTCCCAGGATAATCTGTAGATTCCTCATCACTTGAAACTGTTCCATTCTGTTCTTGTGTTTTCTAAAACAAAGATTTATGGCTTAATAATATCAATACTCAATGAGCTAAAACATATCACTACCAGGGCTCGCGCTGGCAGGAGCCAATGAGCAAATTGGCTCCAAAATTATTAAATTGGCTCAAGAAAATCATGATTGGCTCCAACTTACGAAAAGTATAACTTTTGGAATATCCAGTCTAAATTTAGCATTTGCTATTTTAAGAATGGAAAAGTACACATTTGGTTTTCCATTTACAACTTCCGCTTTACCGCTTCTTATCATAAAACTATGCGACACAGTCTCCTTTTTGTGGGGTCATTGACTGGTCTATATTTGTTACTTCCCTTCCAAATAAAATATCGTTATAAACAGTAACACAGTCTAACACACTGACCTTATGGTATGTTTACATGTTTATCAGCTGATAAATATGACACTAATTGGTGTGAATTGTTGAATGTGCACTGGATAATTGGTCTTTATATTCAATATGAAACAATAACCCACAGCATCTTAAGATTATCGCCAATCATATCAACAGCTTGGTTATGAAATGGACGACTTTACGGTAAGTTTGCATTCATATGTAATTTTATTGTTGTTGATAAAAAGATCAAAGGAATTATGAGTTATAGAATAGAAGTTGTTTTTTTTAAATTGTAAATTAAATCTGACCTAATAATGGCTCCAAAAAAGCATAAATTTGACAAGGAGTATATTTGACAATTAGTATTCCTGAAAAAAAAATTGACCTTACTTTGTACATAACCTCTATCTGGAGCATTCATTTACTAAAGGCATACATGGCTGTGAAATGTTTATGGAAATTCAAGAAGCATACAACATAATTTTAGGAAACTTATGCTAATTACTTTACTCACATAATGAATAGTTGGCATTTTTTTCCTGAATTATGTTTAGTTTAGAACTTTTCAATATTCTTTTCTTCATTAATAATTATTCTTTTTACTCTCAAAAGTTTCTGTTTTTATAATTTCAGATACAGCTAGTCCTCAAACCAAATCTTTGGCATTAACGCAGCCCATTGGATTGTGGTTCTGATGTCACTGTCATGCCACTAACTTAGATTTTATGAAAACATTGCTGACCAAATTAGCCTGGAAAATGTTATTCTTATAGCTACTGAGCTGCAAGCTTTTATGATCAGTTTTAAAGTGATTAAAATGTAGCTACCAAAATAAAGTTGGATATACATGTAGTTTATGTTGTTTTTTTCTAAATATTTCATGCCTTTTTAAGGTGTTTCATATATGAACTAATGCTATAAATAAGTCTGACAATTGAATTCTGGTTATTTTGCAGAACCATTGACTTCTTGAAAATAAAATACAGGCACGCCATTTTCGTCGCGAAAAATTGGCTCTAAGAAAAAATCTGCCAGTGCTAGCCCTGACTACTCATTATCTTAAATTATATCAATATTTAATAAACTAAATTATATCAAAACTCAATAAACTAAATTATATCAATACTCAATAAACTAAATTATATCAATACTCAATAAACTAAATTATATCAATAGTCAATAAGCTAAATTATATCACTGATTTACATTACATGTAATATAAATCCGTGATTATACATGTATCTATACTCATTAGCTTAAATCATATCAATTGTAATTAAATTATATCATATCAATAGTAATTAGCTTGAATGATATCAATACTCAATTAACTAAATTATATCAATACTAATTAACTTTAATTATATCAATACTTATCAAACTAAATTATTTCAATACTCAATAAACTAAATTATATCAATACCCAACTTAAATTGTATCAATCAACAATATGCTTCATATATCAATTCTCAAATAACTTTAAAGTATATCAATACTCCATGAGCTACATTATATCAATCCTTGATGAGCTAGATCATTTAATACTTGATGGGCTAGATTATATCAATACACAATGAGCTAAATTATACAAGTAATCAATGGGCTAATCATATTAATACACAATGAGGTATATCATTCAATACTCCCATGAGCTATTCTATATGGATACTCAATAAGCTAAAACATATTATTACTCAATCAGCTAGGTAACTGGTTATACCAATTAAGGCTCCCACGTTTACATTTTTTTGTAAACGTTTAAACAATTGCTAAGAACCGAAACGATACCGTTTAAACAGTGGTACATCTATGTGCTATACTACACTTATGTATTCCAGTCGCCAAATGATGACTTACTTCCTATTTTTAACACATGTACAAATAAATAATGTTCAGGGTTCATCACAATTGAGTTGGCACACATTTTCTGCATTGTATCCTTATTTCGCTCTTTTGAAAGATCAGAGGAAAATCAACTTTTATATCACGAGCCATTATTGCACGGTAATGCTGTGTGGAGGGTTGTAAACACCCATTTTCCAATTTTTACTTTCGAATAAACCAATTAGAATTGAAAGAATTCATGGTTGAAGGCAATGATTAAGATATTTGGTAAGACAATATGGTCATTTCGATTAAACGGTAAAATTTATCGTAAACGTTTACGAATGATAAAAAGGTGTAACTATGGGGGCCTTAATACCAATACACAGTTTGTCTAATTTTACATGATATTAAGGATAAAATAGTTACCAGTTGTAACAACTGTATCAGCTTTGCAGGATCATCACCACTAGAAATGTCTATAAAATCTTTAGGAAAGGCGTATGCTCCATACGGGTTAGATCTAACTCCAGACGGTGATTCAACACATCTCATTTCTGGAACCTGTAATAAACATTTTGGCTAACCTTTTATCAACTAAATTCAATAACTAGTCTTGTACACTTTCCATTTTTGGAACTATCCATTATCAATTATAGGGGTATCAAGATGAAGATTTTAAGCTGGTTAGCTTAGAGTTTGGTTTAAACACAATTATTTAAGCTCGATTGCCAAACAAGTTCTTGCAACTTATGATAATCACTTTTAAGTCCACTTCCGGGAACCAACCAGTACTGGTGTCATATGAAGAAATATGGTCGAGACAGGATTAGGGCTAGAACCCATGATCTCTGGGTTCAGAGGCAGACACCTTAACAACTAGGCCATTACTCCCCTGTTGATTCTACAATTATCAGAGTAATATAGTTTTTAGGTGCTGACTTTTATATTTTTTTCACACAGTTAAAGGCACATTAAGCCTCAGAAATGAACATGATTTTCCTCTGAAGATAAAGCAAACCTGTGTTTTATTATGTTTTAATACTGGATACAGATAATGTTAGATGCTTATTAAAAGAACAAAATAATTTTTCATAAAAGGTGGTAAAACGTTAACAAACTGTAATTCGGTCTACTACAAAGCAAAAGTTGGCTAATCTGTAAGGCCAATGAGTATTGTTTTGCAAACAGAACACCAAAATAAAGAGCTTTGGACAAATAAAAAAAATTGCATTTTTTTGGAGTAATATGTTTTTGAAGAAGAAAGAACAATACATGATGTTGGGAGTCATCGGCTGGTGATAAATCATCACTCTCTAATTCTTCCCATGTATACAACAAACCATCGGTCACACGTCCAAATGGATTAAAATCCAACAGTAGCAACTTCCCCTGAAATAAACACAATCTTACTAAAACAGAGTTTTATGAGTGTTTTTGCACTTTTTTTACAATCATATTCATTAGTCTTGAGACTTTACTTGCTTTAATATATATTTTTTATCCTCAGGCTGCCTATAAAAGTGCTATGGAGTGAAAATACACATGTTTTTTACAAACAAATACTTGTAATATTTAAAAAAAAAATTCCCATCATGAATCGAAAATGATAAATTATAAACATTTGAGAACAATATTCAGTTTTTTAAAATTTCAAAGAAAACCTATGCATTCCTTTTCATAGTAATTTTGTGACTGTGATCCAGGATTATGGAATAATCTCCAGCGTACATATAGGATTTGATTGCTGAATAAAGGTTTTTCCCCTTAATATTTCAAAGAAGAAATACTTGTGATTAAAGTAAAATATGCCACATCTATATAAACAGTTAATACATTTTTAATTATGGAAAGAGAAAAAGAGCAATAACTACCACTATAATATACTTACTTGACACCTTCTGTATACATCAAAACAATCTGAAATAATAATGAAACATATAAACTAAAGGAAAATATGTAATATCTAGAAAAGTACATAATATACACCACCTTGAATCATTCCTAAAAATCAAGTCATGGAAGATCATAAATTATCTACTGAATATTTTCACAAATACCATTGGATTAAGTTATTTGTTTAAATTCCCTAGACGATCATATTTGCCATACAGAATTTAACTGTAAAAGGTAGTAAATGAATGGATCTTAAATATAATGGACAACTCTCTGTCATAACAAGTCTGCAAAGTTAGATTTATTATAAAATAAAATGTTCATACATTACGGCAATTATATGTCAAACACACAAAAACGTAAAGTGTCATTCAAATTTTAATATTTTCTGCATACTTTGGTCAGGAGACTTAGATTACAGAGGGATAAGAAGCTTTAAAAATAGAAAATCTTCCCGTCAAGACGTGCATTTCTTGTGCGAGAATCATTGGCCCTCAAAGTTTTTAAATTTCTGCCATCTTGTATTACATAACCGAATGTGTTTACATTTACATCCAAAATAACTTGCTCCTCATCAAATGTTTGATCTCACTGAGGATGATACACTCTCCTATATGCTAAAGACTGTTGATTCCACTTAAGTACACACTAATGGGTCTGAAATATTGCATCAACTGAAATCTCCAGTCTCTATCAAGATCATGGGAATAGTCAATATGTCACATTTAACATGAAATCAAAACAATAGACATGATATATAGATCTGTTAATCCTGTAATTAAACAATTTATTAAATTTTATCAAAAAAGTTGTCTTCCCCCCAAAAGTGGAAATAAAATGCCTGATGTCTAAAAATGTTTTCCGTTTTTTTTGGTTAAAATTTTTAATACATGTCATTAGCTTTTGGGGAATTTTCCCTGTAATGTAAAAATAAACTTTTTTGCAAAAAGCCATGAAACGAAAAAAAAATTTAAAAAAAGGATGAAAAATCACTTAAAATCCCACTCAACTATGAAAAAATTACAAATTAGTAAACAAACAAATATTTGTAAATAACATGCTAAATTAAAACAAAATATAAAACATGAGCAATCAGTAATGACATTTCGCCTGATGATAGCCAATTTAGCATATTTTGTGATGGACCAACAAATGTGCAACCAAAATGGAATAAAGGGCCATTTATACATGTATGTTTTTTTTCTTTAAGGCCATTTGCCCCTTCCTCTATTGATAGGGAATGAATTCTATTGTTCTCTTTTGTTTTGTTTACAGTTTGATGGCCCCCTATCCCTATTCAGAAGTGCATTGAATGGGATGGACAAATTGACAGACAGACCATGGAGAAATGTTCCCTATAAGAGTTTGATACTTTGTTATATGTAGCAACAACTGTGTAGCAGGCAACACAAAAGTCATTAACAGGCCAAAATGCCTTTAAGTTTGATATTGGAGGGCCATAACTTGGCCAAAATCATTCAACTGGCAAATAGATATATACTTGATGTACTCTTCAATCCTGTAAAGTTTAATTCAAATTGAAATATTTTTCAGCGTAATATTTCGTTCCAGAACATTTCTATTTTCTGTTAACGTACAAAATTCACAGAGAAACGTCATACCAATAAGTTTGTTATCTTTAACAAAACATCTGAATTCATATGCTGGGTTTAACTCCTGCCACTTTCTAAGAACTAGCTCATATTTTACACTGGTCTCGTTCTTCAAATTCTCGTCATCACAACAATGTTTAAACCTGTAAATTTATCACCCATATTAAATAGTCACAGTCGAATATGCTTGATATTTACACTACATTCATTTATCTTGAGAGATGCCCAATTAGGAAATATATCTTCATATTGACTGCGTTCTTGTATTCTATAGCAAAGTATGGAAGTTCAGCATGCACACAGTCAATATAAAACATAAAGTGTGTTAAAATACAATTAATAACATACTGTGCAATATTATATCACAAAGCATTTAAAATCAAGAAACAATTTTTTTACAGACTTACACATAAGTCCAATGAAAGGTAATGAAAACAGTGTTGGATAATACATGTAGACTATTCCAATATACCAACAAACCATACTACAAATATTTGGAAAATAAATATGTTTCAAAACATTCATTCATATTCTGAAACATTGTTTAACATTGTGTACCACATTTGACCAAACTGCCGATATCTGAGATTCCAGGATGTATTATTCCATAAAATTGTTATACATTGTGTAAATTATTTCACAAAACTCTTGATTCCCAGATGAATAAAGCATGTGCATCAAAACGTATATGCATATTATATAGTTATACAGGGAGGGAATAACATGGTTTACGTATAACCATGTTTATTTTAAGTGAGTACTACAATCTCCTTGTTTCATGAGATAAATGTAAAGTAATAAACATACATAACAGTCACAGGATATTGGTCACAATGATATTATACAATATACTTGCTAACAGTTACGAGAACTTTACGAAAGTCACTTACGGTTGTGTGAGATCATGTGATATGAAATCTGAACTTTTTAACAGGAGGTAGACATCACTGGTACATGTACATTTTAATGTTCTATCAAATGATATCCATGTAGCATCCTGAAACAATAACATCATTATGTTGATGATTACGCTCTAACAATCATCGGGTTATATTTACATGTACCTTTACCTTTATCTTTATCCATCCCAGGATATTATATGGTTAAGTATTAATGGGCTTGAATAACGTATCAAACTTGTTGACAGAATTATTTTTTCGATTGAACCCAACTTATCAATATTTCATGTACATTTATTTATTACTTAACTCATAACAATAGGAAATGCCTTTTATTTTTTTTGACACCTGAATGTTAAAATATCATTAAAATAAAATTATGCCCATTCAAGTGGAAGTTTTCAGTGAACAGATAAAAATCAAAATAACTTGACGGTTTCCAAAATTGTGCTCAATACTTTATTTTACAATGTGAAAATAATCCACATGACAAAAGGAAAATTCTAAAAATAATGTTCAGATTGCACTAGTAAAGCTGAATTCTTAAAAAGAAGGGCAGTCTTTTTATAATATACATAAGTATATATGTATAGATATGTAGATTGTTTTATAGTTTATCATCAACATTTGTCATTATCAATTATTAATTGATCAGCATTATAATAGTCAATCTCTTGAAATATATTCCCAATTCAACTCAACGTGATGGCAAAAAATGAACATAATGTCACATAAAAGCTGATTTATTATTGAGCGTCTAAGCTCTATTTCTGTCATCCTTAAGAAATATGTCATGTTGGTTTAACATTAACAATACATGTTCAACTGTCTTTCTCAGAGAACAAAGTATGTGTCAATTCAAAGTTCACAGAGAATGGGTTGTATTGCCTAATTACAAGAGCACAAACATTTATTTACTTAAAACCTTTGAATCTTAAAGGTAATCGAAGCAATTTTAATCTTGATACCATGTATGTATCATGCTCTGTTTATGGTGTTTACTGACATTTGACCTTAGTTTACTTTAGTGGTGCATTAAAAGAGTGTTTGTGGAAACTCCTATGTGTGACATTAGATAAGATGCGAATTGTCATGGCATGCTTCCCATGCCATGTTAGCTTATAACATGCCTATTTTTATAGAAATATGCACATTACCAGATCAGAAAATGGATTGACATTTCACTCTGACTCATTCATTTAATTAATACATTTATTTTGGAAGTTCATACTATTGAATGCCAAAATTGTTAGGAATATTTTAGCATGATACACAAAGAATATTTTGTTTACCTACCTTAGGAGCTGACCAATTTAATTTTGGGAAAACCTGCCCACCTAATCTCCTGATTGTATTCTTCAATAACACTTCAAATTCTGGAAAACTTGGAGCCTGGGGAATAAAAAGAAAATATGCTTACTTCATCTAAACATCTATTCTCATGTTTAGGTGCGTGGATGTTTGGGGTTAAGGAAATTTGATTATGCAAGCAGCACATGTTTCCATTTTAAAGTAGTGAAAAATAAAATGTCCTCCTAACAAGTGCAAAGAAAAACCAGCAAACATCGAAAACAACAGAATGTAGCTGTTTTATATTAAAGAATGTAGTTAGTACATAATCTTATCATCACAACATGTAATCATTTCAAATGCTCATAGATATATACAATAATAAAAGTATCATTCACTTTTATTAATACAAATTAATATTAACTTTCAAACCTAAAACCATAATCATACAATATTCCCTATGAAATTTTTCTCTTTTCTTGATTTATTATTTCACAGTGAAAATTTTCTAAAGTTAACAACAATTCTGGGGAGATACCTTGAGCAATGAAAACAAAAAAAGGTAAAACTATAGACTCTGTATGATCATAGTGCCGTTTTAAGCAGTTATCAATCATTAACACTAAAGATTTGTTTTTGTACTATATACAAGCATATACATGTATTTACATCTTTTGTTTTTAATATAACGATGATGTATTAACATACCTCTGCCACTGGAGTTAAAATATCTTGTGTTGCCCAATCTATAACATCCTGAAAACATACATGTGTAGTAAGATTATAGTTCTTGTGTTACCTTTGCCATCCACTCAAATTATTTTGGTATAGACAAAATATAAGAACTCCTACAATGTTAAATTTATATAATGATATTGTCCTGTGTTAAAATGGTATTTCAAGTTGATGAATGATATAAATATATAAATGCTAAAATTAATAATTTTGTTTTTGTTTTAATGTATGTCACTCCAACACAGTAAAGTTCATATGGCAACTTTCCAGCTTTTCTGGTGAAGATAAGACGTCAGGTGCCACTCTATGCATTACTTCAGGACTAAAAGGGCATCTGAGTAGAACCATCAACATTTCGTAACCTAGCCAGATACCTTCCTCACATGAAATAATCCAAAGTCCCTGTCGAAATTCAAACCCACAAAGGTTACAGGCAAGTGGTTTGAAGTCAAAGACCTTAACCACTCAGACACTGACTTAGTCTGGAGAAAGCTCACTGATGTCATGACTGGCTGGACTGTATACTATTGATAGATCCCTGACCTTTTATTTGATTAACAATAGATTAAACCACAAACATTGACATGATCTTTTGTTAACATTTAACCAATATGTTGTTGTGAAATTGTTATTATATCCACTAACCAAATGTAATCTGATAATTTATCTGATAATTAGACAAGTCAGGGATCTATGCATTGGCATAATAAAGTAATAATTATCGTGTTGATTTACCTCAGTATTTCTGTTGTCTTCTGTATCTGAGTCACTGGCTGACATAGCAACTGTCCTAAAATAATAACAGAAATTGTCTTGGTGATAATAATAAACTATCATGGTATAAAACTGTTCACATTTTAGAAAGAAAATGTGTTTCTGCAAAACAGTGTTATGAGGGTCCTATGTTCAAATCTAGAGCAGCATACACATTCTTTTTACCAAGTAACAATGCAAGTTTGACTTTGGAACTTAACTTATACTTCTTTGTATACTAGTAGTTAAGTTTTATACATTGTGTGCTATTTTCAACTATGATTAAATCATATAACTCTCTAAAATATTTCCATATCTTCCTACCTACTATCATATACTTCAATGAAATAATGTTCATTAAGAAGCCTACAGCTCTTTTGTCTATTTAGAAGCTTATAGCCTATTCTAAACTTACCCTTCCGGCAGGACAACTTGGTCAGCAAGTAGGTAATCTACAAACTCCTGTGGCAATGGAAGGATTTGACTGGAAACAATAACAACAAAATAAATGTTAAACTCCTTTAAACAATGCTTTGAAGAAGAATAATTACCATCAAAACTTAATAACAAATAAATATATCATCATCACTAGCTCTGAAATATTTCAAAGCATAGTTACATTAAATAATCAGATGGTGCCTACAATACTTCACTTTTATGTCATCTTAAGCACTGTGTACTACAAATTGAAAAAATGATATAATAGTTTAACTTTTAAAAATAGCACTTGATGCCTGAATGTTAATATTATCACAGAGCTTTATAAGTTTCTCATATTATACATAAATAACTCCAATCCTGTGTTAAAATTATCTTTATATATAAATAAGTTTTCGTTAATTTATCAGATTTTATTTAAATCATAATTAAATATGAATTATTATACATTCAAGTGTATACTCCAGAAAATTGTTGGTTTAAATTTCATTTTAAAAGAAAGCATGGCAAATATGTTACAAGAAAAATGTTTACCTTTTAATAGTGTAATCCTTAAACCTGGGATACCAGGAGGAGAAACTGCAATTTAAAACCTCTGAGATCTTCATTGTTTATCATACAGAACTTTCTGTACAAGTCAACTGTTTGATTTATTCTAAAATAAGGAAAGAGCAAATTAGAAATGGTGTAATTATAAATATGAATTAATTTCATTTTTACATTTAAGGAACATGAAATGTTTTGACACTGTGAAAATATAAGTAGCCAGAAAATAATATCATAAAGGGTATAATTAAAACAAGAGGGCCATGATGACCCCGAGTCGCTCAACTGTTTGAAGTGTCTATTGTGCACATTCAATGATTGACAGAATGAGGAAAAGAGCAATTGAATGTAACCAATATATATAGTTGTAAATATTTTTCCTCTCAAACTAAGAATGATATGATCTAGGGAGGTCTAGGGGGACAACCCCAAGCAAAAATATGAAATAATCACATGGGGCTATTTCTATTTTAATCTATATGTTGGTCTACTAAGGGGCTCTTTTTAATTTGTTCAGTATCATGCAAAGGCTTGAATCTCTTTTTTAAAGCTGTTGATCATTTCAATGATTTTCAGTAATAAGTAGCTATGTTAAATCTCGAATCTCCACAAGTGAGGTCCAACAGAGATAAGTCCACTTGGCTTTTTGTGAAAATTACCAGACTAAGCAGCAGTTTATTTCGAAATGAATGAATAGATTTTGTATTGGGCTTTTAAAGGTGATAAAATTAAATATTATTCTTAATAAATGTTCAATCAAATTATCATACCAAACTATATCAATGAACCTTTTTTCCGTTAGGCCATCCTTAAAAAAATGTTTGTTTGCAGTAACCCGACCCAGAATTTTCAAGGTGGGTAGGTAGGTCGATTTTTTTTTTTTTTTTTTTATTGAACTGCACTCCTAAATAAACATGGAATTTCAAAATGCTGGACAATATATGCTTTGATAATCTGGTAACAATTAATAAATTGATAACTGAATTCTAATTTAATAAGAACTACATTTTATTTCTTCTATTAACCTTAAAAAGAATGAAAACAAAACACAAGGCATAATTTTCTGATTCAAAAAAATTTTTTTTTTATCCAGACCATGAAAAAAAATTTGAGTAGGGGCAAATTTTGTGAGTCGGTCGCGTTACTGCAAACAAACATTTTTTTAAGGATGGCCTTATGTCAATTTCTCAATGGTAAAAGTAACCACTGCAGCAGATGGCTCCACTTATTTTCGTGTGGAGCATTTCCATTGGTCACATCTCTGTTGTTCCACACTTGGGGAGACTTCAAGATTACATAATATCTGTTTGTTTGTTTGTTTCATTTTACGCCTTTTAGTATCTACTTTCTACTTCAAATCATTTAATGACAGCTTTTTTTCCTTTAAGAGTTATCAATTTCCTAACACTAATTACCAAGATTTTGAAATTTGGTGCAAAAATGTGGGTTTGTCTAAAATACGAAAGTGAATTTTTTTGTCGAAAGTGAGCAAAAGTGACTTCAAAAATATGAATAATTGCGTTTTAATAGAACTTTACAATAAAATTACAGTAAGTAGACGTATAATATTAGAAACTTATAATATTTACTATCAAAAATAATCATGATGATGATTTAATATCCATTGATTTGCATAATTTCCATACACAGCCACAGGTTCAGAAATCTTGCTTTGGCTTTTTACTGTAACCCTTACACAAAACACTTACCATTTCCCTAGATGTAAAACGAGTATTTTGGAGAGAAACATAAATATTGAATGACATAAAATTGCGTAAAATTACTTTGTTAAAAATATCTGCGAACAGATTCTAGCCATGTTGATAATTTACACGAAATAAAGTCTGTCCGAAAAAGAGCAACTTCCAACATTTCCTTACCTGATTCAACAGACCACAATCTAAGACCGTACGTGTGTATATATATTTCATATATGTAAATGTGTAACAAATGTCTTATACTTATTAGAATTGCCTTCGTTTTTCTCTTATATAGAATGACTTTAAACCTGACGCAACTATTTTTATTTTAAATCTCACGACATGACTTTCTGATGACACCGCTTGCAACAAAAACACGTGTTTTCTGTCAAAAAAATAAACAATGCAGATTCACAGGTCAGGTCCTTTGAAACAACAAAATAAAGCACACAAACATGGGAAACACAGGAGTAAAGGTCAAAGAGAAGAAGGAGGTATTTGTATATGACATTATGGTATAAGAAATGACGCAAATATTTGTCTTATTCGCCCCCTATCCCACTCGTACTTATTCTGACTTGTTTATCGACATTATAGTTGATTTGCTTGTGAATATGTAATCTTATCAGTATAAAGAAACAAAATGCTAGAAATCATTCATTTTTCTTATTTCACAGAACATGGAGCGGCATTTCTTTCCTCTATCATCAGTGACTGGCGAGTGATGATAATACATGTAAATAAGGCATGAACAGTTTTACCTACAGTTCTGTGCTTTATAGTCTTCATTCATACTGTCAAACCGTGGAAGGTTTTTCGAAAAAGACATTTCATGTTCAAAAATTATTTTGATGTCTCTAAAGTTTGAGAAGTGATTTCTTATTTTTTCCGCAAATTAGTTTATGGGCCAATATTTGATTGCGGGCATACAACGCTTATAAACATTTTGTTTTATATATTACTATAAATTCATATTTTTTTCACATGATATTATTAAAGGACGCAAAAATCTTCATCAGTTAAAATAGCAGAGCATAATTTGCTTTCATCTTGTCACCATGGCAACCAGTTACTAGGCCATAACGGTAAAATGTCCTCTTCCGTTACGGGTATCAACCCAGTTATAATATCAAGTATTATAATATTCAATCAACAAAAAAGACTGAAAACAGAATAATTTATAAATGTAACATAATATTTAGATATTTAACGAGATTTCAAAACTTATGGTGCATTTTCTGTTGAAATATTTTAAGAACGGTACGGACAATAAACAAATTATAGATATATATGACCTCAATCATCCATGTATTTGAACAGGAAACTTAACCGTGCGACTTTTATTAGACAGAATAAAGAAACTGATAATTATTCGACATATAGAAGATATTGCCGTACAATTCCTTGTTTCCTTTAAGATTTTAGTTAAGTTTTTCATGTACGTAACGATATGGACATCACAAGAACGGTACGGACGGACCGTAACGTGAAAAAAATCCGCTTCCGTTACATGTCCTAATAAATTATATCAAGTCAATTAATCAATAACTAATCCATAAAGTGGTGACAAATACGTGCATTTTTGTAAATTTAACATGGAAATAGATCGAAAAAAGAAAAAAAGAAAAGAAAGGTTTTTAATTTTTGTGTTCTAAAATATTTATAGAACGGTACGGACAATCAGTATAAAAATGTAATCCTATTTCTTGATATGTTTCAGCAATTAAAAGGCCTCTGTATTATTGACGTATTTGTTAATCAATCGTGATTGTGATATGATAATCTTTACTTCAAATAATTGTAGTTAAAAAAACAAGCATGTGAATCTTTAAAACATTTAATTCATATAAACCAGAACAAGAAAACAAATTTATTTCATCATCAATTCATCGTACAATCTAACAATTAATTTTTAGATAGCTATAATCATTCAGCTACATTAAATGATATGAATTCATTACAAATGACAAATATGCTTTCTTTTAAATTCATTAAGGTCTTTTTCTTTAAAATTTAAAATCAAATTGAAATATTTATATCCGAGAGCACTATTTTCATCTGACAATATCAAGTCCATGTAGTATTGTACAAATTAAGAAACAAACAACAGTTGAACTACAAACAAGTATGAAACATAACACCAACGATCGAAACTTTCTTCAAAACTGTCTGTAGATTTAAAGTGTCTCACGAGTCTACCGATATTTTAGATTATCAATGTCGAGGTCCAACAATTCAAGTATTATAGCCCAGGCCTCCGGTAGAATTTGCATATGCCTTTTGGTAACAGGCAAAAGCTCTGGTATAAGGGTGACAATTGCATCTGGTACCTTATACCAGAACACATCATCCAAAAGGGGCCAAAACCAACGGTTGTTACCAATATTATGAAGAACCTTAACTTCTACAGTTGAGTCGGTGTCAACATCTTGGATGATACCGGGAAAGGGTTTACCTTCATACAACACAACACACCATTCTCCAATCAAGTTTTCGTCTAACAGTTCAGCGCTTAGTGGATTTATTTTAAAGCTTGACTTATTTTTGCCTATCCCCTCATCAGATGTTCTTATACTGACAGTGTCATTTGACCCACCAGACCTACTGCTGACCACGTCAACCAACCCACTACACCTTGATGTGCCCTCGTTTATCGCTCCACAAGACCTAGTACTAATCTCGTCCACAGACACATTGCACCTAGCATTGACTTCTTCAATCGACCCAGCAGACTCAATACAGACCTCATCGACTGACCTATGCTTTTCATGTAGCACGACCTTCTTAGGCGAAAAACACAAGCATTCATCAATTCCTTTGCAAAAACAAGACAATACACGTGTAGAAATGAAAGAATCAGTTATACAACTTATAACTTGGTGAACTGACATTGTTCCGCTGACGAGTTTTACTTTTGACGGAATTTCAGAATCTATAGCAGAAATCTCACTTCCAGGAACAAGGTAAACTTTGACATTGAGCCCCATTTCTTTTACAGCATTATATAAATCCCGAGCATCTTTAATATCAGCACCATGAGCGACCATCTTGTCTGCTTTGTGCTTAATTAGACCCCCCACCCCATCTGGAGCCCCCTTTCCATGTCCAGATTCAGAAAAGTTCCATGTCACATGTAAAAACCCATACTGTCGATGCATCTTATCTTTTAAAAGATAAAAGTGGTTTCTAGACCTGTATTGTGTGGTCGGTCCATCAGAAATAAAATGAACCACATTGATTCCACATTGTTGTATTTCTTTCAATATTGGGTCAAGATGGGCCCATATAGCCGATGGGTCATGTCTAGTGTTTTCGGACATAGTGCAAAAACAAGTTGGATCCTTGTTGAATTGGTAAATCACACCAGTATGCATCGAAACTTGGTTTCTTGATGCCCCAAAGTGGACACTTTGTACCTCCTCACTATACTTACATGCATAATTTTCTGAAAAGTCAACGTGGATAACGCATGCGTTTTGGGTGATATTTTCTTTTAAAATTTTTCAATTGATGAAACTGATGAGTAATGTTGAAAATGTGCTTGCAAAAGTTCTTTTTACAGAAATCACTAAATTTTTCTACCAGTTGATTTAGAGTTAATTGAATTTTCTTTTTGACCACTACTCTTACATTTATGTTCTCACTCTTACTGTTTGGCCTTTGAACAATCCTGTTTTCTAAAGTATTTTCCCATGAATGGATCCAAACTTGTGCATTTAGGTTAATGCCATCTGGACATACTATGTGTTTGTTTTTACATGTCTCGCATTCATTATACATGCACACTTTACTCTCAACGTCACATACTACTCGACTACATGCCTCTGATTTTGATTTAGAACTTAACAACTTGTGCTCTACTAATTTTGCAATCATAAACTCTGCATTCATATGTAGTTTGCATCCACATGTATTTCTTTCTGTACAAATCGGATGCACAATCCAAAATGGCTTAACCTTACAGAACGATGTGTAAGAAATAGAATGAAAGGGATGTTGGTCGCAGAATTTTTTGTGCAAGTTTTTTAAACTGTCACATAAAATTCGCTTAGGTTTTTCCAATCCTTTTCTTGAGATAACATCTTTTTTGCCAGGCATCGCACGGCTGTTTACATCTTCTTCGAGAAAGTCACACACTTTTCGTCTTACTTGAATACCTGTAATCAAAAACCTTAAATTGTCAAACAAAGCATCAAAGATACGCTTTGCCGTTTAAAAGTATATCGTACTACTTTTGTTATATAACTAATTCTTTGTTTGAGTTACAAAATGTTGCAGATGCGATAATATTAGCAGTACAATGTTATTCGTTAACAATTAAGTGGTAGTTTATGTAGCTATTACTTAATGCAGAAAAAGTTACAATGGTAGTGAAATAAGTGGTACTATTGGTTGTCATTAGTTTATGCAGAAGAGTTTACAATAGTAGTACAAATAAAACTTTACCTATTTTATTTCTATATGTTTTTCTATTGAAAGTCATTGCTGTGTCTCGTTCTCTGTTCGCCCGTATGCGTTTCTGGCTTATTCCAATTCGATCTGCGAAGCCTAATAGATTATACTTCTTCAGTATGTTCCCCGTAACCGCTTTAGATAGTATTTGTCTATCCTTTTCAGATTTCAGTTGCATCATTTTCATGCGTAATTCTTTTACTATGACAGAATTGAACAATGCTTCATTTCTTTTATAGTCTCTTCTCTGGCTGATTTTTGCTTTATTTAGCTTCCCTTTTTTGTCAACGTCATTGTTCTCTTGTTTGTCCATTAACCGTTTCCATCGTTTTCGGTATTTGTTAGCTTCTTTTGATTTTTGTTTTAGCTGTATCTTAAGTTTTTGTACTTGTCTGTATACTTGTGCCCTGTCTCGTCTTACCTTTTTACGACCCCTCTTTTCTCGATCATCATTGGACGGGCCAGGAGTGGGAGAGTTGGGAGGTGTTCCTAGAACAGTGGATGCTTCTTTTATCATTGCTTCAGACATTTTTTGCTTTTTTTCTTCTCTCACGCCGTTCATTGCGCCATTTTCGTCGTTTAAGATTTTTTTCTCTATCTTTACAGTCATCTATAAGTCTAATCTGACCATTACTTTTTCTTTTTCTATATCTTCTTCTTTCGTTTGATAGATATTCACTATACCTGTTCTCATCAGCTTTCATCGCTGCCCTGTACTTTCGCATTCTCTCTGCCGCTGACATTCCCATTTTGAACACTTAGTTGCAGAACTTTAAGTTTATCTATTTCTTGTAAATATTTACTTAGGTTTTCATCCCACCATCTTCCTTCTAATATTGGCCCCCACTCTTCAATCAGATGCGGTAAGCAAAACGACCTCGCCTGTTTTAGTTGAAATTGTAAACAATTTATAACTGCTTCTTGTTGTAAAAGAGCTCGTTTTAATTCCTCCTGAAAATTACAAAACAGTAGAATTTTAATCTAGTTTAGTTTAATTATCAAATAAAATGAAAGCTATGATGATGTTTAATGTAATCCTTAATTTGGACAAATATTTGATTATCATATAAATTTGTAACGGGCATGATTTGAATTAATGACTTAATATACTTAAGCAGTCTTTTTATGGTATTACACATAAACTATAACAAGTTCTCTATTACTTTATTTTAAATAATTTGATAAAATTATATGTCTATTTATTCTTAACTGATACTTTATTGTAAATGTCCGTACCGTTACCACACTGTCCGTATCGTTATATCATACACATAACGGAGCGGACTGTAACGGAGCGGACACTTATATGGAATAACCTTTTAAAACTCTGTTATTTTTTACGTCATCGTACAGTCCAGAAGGTAGAACATGATCTGTACACATAAGTTTTACATATTGAGTAGTATTTTTAAACATAAATCGTTTCTGGTTAAAGTGCCGACCAAAACGGCACGGACATTTAATAAACATACGGACTAGGAAAATCATACTTACTGTTGAACTGCGAGGTAGACTTGCATGGTAGTTTACTTTGTCCGCCATAGGAAGAAATGATATGACGTCATAGTTCATTGGCGCGAAAATTTGTATTTTATTCATACTTTCAACCGTCGTACCTCGTCATTTTCAAAAGTGTAACGGAGTGGACACGAAGATTGGGACAATATCATTATTGAATTTTTTTTAGTTAATTGTCAAATTTTAGTATCAATACTTGTAATTTATTGTTTTAAAGAGAATAAAATTAGACTCTGACAACAAACCTTCATTTTTTTCAAGTACATATCATTCAGTTTACAAAGTCAAATATATTGGTATGCTTTACGGACACTTTACCGTTACTCAATCTTAATAAGCGCAGATGCAGATAAGGGAATAATTTTTAGAAATTCTTAAAAATAATGATTATATCAAGTTAATATACGGAGAAAATACATATTTAAGTACACTGAAAAATAAAATAAAATCAAATGTGGGCTTGTTTGACGGAAATATACACGTTGGACATAAAATAGACAAAACAGTCCCGTAATCAAATATTGGCCCTTATATTAGATATAGATAAAATAATAGTTTCTTATAACATGTATTTGCAGGTAGAGTGAATGTTAAAGTTTTGTCAAAGAAAGCAGTTACTGTTCAGAGGAAAAATGATAGAAAACATCAGGTAAACTAGTTACAAACATGTGCATATCTATAACTCTATAATGCATATGTTTTCCTTGATATTCTATAATCATTTCTCACACTTCAGTTCATAATGCTATATATATTTAACTGACATGCATCTGTCAGTTAAAAAGAAACAACGTTTGTTATATTACTATATAGGCTGCACAAGGAATGGTTTATTATACAGTCTACACAATGTTTATTATATTATACAGGCTTTCCATATTATTTTATTATACAGACTGTACAATGTTTATTATATTATACAGGCTGTACAGTGTTAATTATATTATACAGACTGTACCATGTTTATTGTATTATATAGGCTGTACAATGTTTATAATATTATACAGGCTGTACAATATACAGGCTGTACAATGTTTATTGTATTATACAGACTGTACAATGTTTACAATGTTTATTATATTATACAGGCTTTCCATTTTATTTTTTTAAACAGACTGTACAATGTTTATTATATTATACAGGCTATACGATGTTTATTGTATTATACAGGCTGTACAATGTTTATTATATTATACAGGCTGTACAATATACAGGCTGTACAATGTTTACTATATTATACAGACTGTACAATTTTTTATTGTATTGTACAGTACAATGTTTATTATGTTATACAGGCTGTATAATTTTTATGCTCCCCGAAAAATTTTGGGGGAGCATACAGTTGGTGCCTTGTCTGTCTGTCCGTCCGTCTATCCGTCTGTCCATCTGTTGTCTTGTCCGGAATATAACTTGAAAACCCTTGGAGATAATTTGTTTAAACTTCATACAGTGGTACAGAGCATTGAGGGGGAGTGCAGTGTCAAAGAACCATAACTCTTTTTTGCTCGGTTTTTGAGTTATCTGCCCTGATAGAAAAATCTTGTAGGGGACATAACTCTAAAACTATAAGAGATATCAACATGAATCTTTGTAGGTGAATAGATCTCAATAAGTAAATGTGCATTGCATAAGAACAATAACTCTTTTTATCGTAATTTTTGAGTTATTGCCCTTTGTTAATTTTAACACTTTGAACTTTGTCTGGAACATAACTCTAAAACTATAAGAGATTTCAGAATGAAACATTGTAGGTAGATAGATCTCATTCAGTAGAAGTGCCGTGCAAAAGAACCATAACTCTGTTAAGCCTCATTTTTGAATCATCTCAACTTTTAGAAAAATCTTGTCAAGGACATAGCTGTAAAACTATAAGAGATATCAACATGAAACTTTGTAGGTAGATATATCTCAATGGGTAGATGTGCAGTGCACAAGAATCATAACTCTGCATTGCCTAATTCTGGAGTTATTGCCCTTTGTTTATTTTTACTTTTTTAAGTTGTCTGGGACTATAACTCAGAAACCATAAGAATTTTTGAAGTTGTCCGGGACATAACTCAGAAACCATAAGAGATATCAACAAGAAACTTTGTAGGTTGATAGATGACTTTGATTAGAAGTACAGTGCAAAGAACAGTAACACTTCCTTGCTTAATTTTGGATTTTTGCACTTTGAACTTTTTCCACAACTACAAGAGGGGTACTTTCCTGTGTCCAAACCCTATTCGAGGAGCATCACCCAGCTCAAACCAGGCTCTTGTTTATTGTATTATACAGGCTGTACAATGTTTATTGTATTATACATGCTGTACAATGTTTATTATATTATACATGCTGTACAATGTTTATTATATTATACATGCTGTACAATGTTTATTATATTATACATGCTGTACAATGTTTATTATATTATGCAGGCTGTACAATGTTTATTATATTATACAGGCTGTACAATGTTTTTTATATTATACAGGCTGTACAATGTTTATTGTATTATACATGCTGTACAATGTTTATTATATTATACAGGCTGTACAATGTTTATTATATTATACAGGCTGTACAATGTTTATTATATTATACATGCTGTACAATGTTTATTATATTATACAGGCTGTACAATGTTTATTATATTATACATGCTGTACAATGTTTATTATATTATACAGGCTGTACAATGTTTATTATATTATACATGCTGTACAATGTTTATTATATTATACATGCTGTACAATGTTTATTATATTATACATGCTGTACAATGTTTATTATATTATATAGGCTGTACCATGTTTATTATATTATACATGCTGTACAATGTTTATTATATTATACAGGCTGTACAATGTTTATTGTATTATGCAGGCTGTACAATGTTTTTTATATTATACAGGCTGTACAATGTTTATTGTATTATACATGCTGTACAATGTTTATTATATTATACAGGCTGTACAATGTTTATTATATTATACATGCTGTACAATGTTTATTATATTATACATGCTGTACAATGTTTATTATATTATACTTGCTGTACAATGTTTATTATATTATACATGCTGTACAATGTTTATTATATTATACAGGCTGTACAATGTTTATTATATTATACATGCTGTACAAGTTTATTATATTATACAGGCTGTACAATGTTTATTATATTATACATGCTGTACAATGTTTATTATATTTTACATGCTGTACAATGTTTATTATATTATACAGGCTGTACAATGTTTATTATATTATATAGGCTGTACCATTATTATTATATTATACATGCTGTACAATGTTTATTATATTATATATGCTGTACCATGTTTATTGTATTATACATGCTGTACATTGTTTATTATATTATACATGCTGTACCATGTTTATGATATTATACATGCTGTACAATGTTTATTATATTATACATGCTGTACCATGTTTATGATATTATACAGACTGTACAATGTTTATTATATTATACATGCTGTACCATGTTTATTATATTATACATGCTGTACAATGTTTATTATATCATACATGCTGTACCATGTTTATTATATTATACAGGCTGTACAATGTTTATTATATCATACATGCTGTACCATGTTTATTATATTATATAGGCTGTACAATGTTTATTATATTATATAGGCTGTACAATGTTTATTATATTATATAGGCTGTACCATGTTTATTGTATTATACATGCTGTACAATGTTTATTATATTATACAGGCTGTACAATGTTTATTATATTATATAGGCTGTACCATGTTTATTGTATTATACATGCTGTACAATGTTTATTATATTATACATGCTGTACAATGTTTATTATATTATACAGGCTAAACAATGTTTATTATATTATATAGGCTGTACAATGTTAATTATATTATACAGGCTGAACAATGTTTATTATATTATACATGCTGTACAATGTTTATTATATTATGCAGGCAGTACAATGTTTATTATATTATACATGCTGTACAATGTTTATTATATTATACATGCTGTACAATGTTTATTATATTATATAGGCTGTACCATGTTTATTGTATTATACATGCTGTACAATGTTTATTATATTATACAGGCTGTACAATGTTTATTATATTATATAGGCTGTACAATGTTAATTATATTATACAGGCTGTACAATGTTTATTATATTATACATGCTGTACAATGTTTATTATATTATGCAGGCAGTACAATGTTTATTATATTATACAGGCTGTACAATGTTTATTATATTATATAGGCTGTACAATGTTTATTGTATTATACATGCTGTACAATGTTTATTATATTATACAGACTGTACAATGTTTATTGTATTATACAGGGTGAACAATGTTTATTATATTATACATGCTGTGCAATGTTTATTATATTATACAGGGTGAACAATGTTTATACAAGCGGTACAGTATTTATTATATTATACAAGCTGTACAGTATTTATTATATTATACAAGCTGTACAGTATTTATTATATTATACATGCTGTACAATGTTTATTATATTATACAGGGTGAACAATGTTTATACAAGCTGTACAGTGTTTATTATATTATACAAGCTGTACAGTATTTATTATATTATACAAGCTGTACAGTATTTATTATATTATACATGCTGTACAATGTTTATTATATATATACAGGCTGTACAATCATACTACAATGTTTATTATAATATACAAGATGTGATATGTTTATTATATTATACAGGCTGTACAATGTTTATTGTATTATACAAGATGTGATATGTTTATTATATTATACATGCTGCACAAGGAATGTTATATTATACAGACTGTACAATGTTTATTATAATTATAATACAGGCTGTACAATGTTTATTATATAATACAGGCTGTACAGTTAAGGAAGAAGAAGAGAGATGAGGCTATTTCTAGGAAACGTAATGTTGGTGTTTCTGGTACTCCTCCACATTGTTGTGTAAGTATAATATTAAGTTTGAGCATTACTTCTAGATGCTTGCATGATCATAAAGTAGAAAAATATAACTTTTTTTGCTGATTTTTCATTCATTATCAATATAAATCAGTGTTAAGATATGAATTACATGTCCAAAGTGCATTTTGGCATGTGAAAAGATATTATTTTAAGGATTTTATCAATCAAGCGGCTTGTCTGATATACACCGATGTAGGGCATTGAGTGTGGTGTTCCAACATTATTTTTTATTCTCACTCACATTCTTTTGACAGTTACTAAATGTGAGCAGGACATCTCAAGCCTTTCTCTACTTGTAAAATGATCTTTCTTAGGTAGGAAGTTTCTACATTAAAATAAATTAGTGTTAATATTATGTCTGAAAAAGCCAGTTGTCCTTTAGGAATATACCTAGAAGATATAATAAGTACTGATATTAAGGTATTTAAAAGTGATTTTCTTGTATTATAGTTGGTTGTTCCCCTACATGCTGAAGTGTCAACATCAAATATTGTAGAGAAGATTTCATCTTGTACAGAATCAGTTGCAACATCTAAAACAGAATCAGGAATAACACATGTTAGGTAAGAGAAAATAAACATTGGAATTACACTGGTCCTTGTCAGGTAGGACACTGGAATTTGTCAGGTATGTAAAAAATAACACTGGAATTACACTTGTCAGGTATGTACAAAAACATTGGTAGGACAAAATAAATTCTGGAAATACATATGTCAGGTAGGGAAAAATAGATAGTGGAATTTGGAATTTCATATTTCATGTAAGTGGAATTACACTTGGTAGGTAGGACAACATAAATGCTGGAATTATAAAAATTGTTGGAGGATAAAATGATAATAATATTTTTTCAACAGTATGTTGTTACTAGAATTTTATACATTTCACTTTGCATTGATAAATAATGTCAAACTACTTGTACTTCACTGCTGTGAGATTAATTACATGTTGGATGGTTATTCAATTAGTTTCTACAAGGTTTCGTTTTATACACAAGCGCTTATGTATGCCTGATGCAATGAAAAAACTGCTTTGATCTATGACTACTAGTTAAGATTTAAGATATGACCTTTGACATTTGTATTTGGAAAGGTAATATCTTTGTCAATTCTTTTCTCTTACAGTGTCCAGAGATTTAAGCAGCGTGTAGAGTTTGTCACAGTTAAACATGGAGACTTGTACAGTATATTAGATGTGGCAAAGGTGGCTGATTCTATCATGTTTGTCATGTCGCCAGACTCGGGACTGGATAGATTTGGAGAGAGTTGTATTTCATGTTTGATGGGTCAGGGTTTACCGAGTGTTACACTAGTTGTACAGGTAAAAAACATTATACTTCAAAAATTCAAAGTTTATTGGCATTCAGTAAAAATATTTGCCTTAGGCTTTGGCCATTTATAATATATCATTTTGGCAAAGACAATTGCATGTGATATAAATACAAATAAAGGAATATTTGTACAATGATAATAATCACGATCAGTAGTATAAAATATGCCTGATAACAAGTGGCACATGAAAGCTGCACAAAACATTTAAAAAATGAAACAAAACTTTGAATGTTTACAGAATTATTTTTCAACAAAGCAACGTGACATCATGATTTGATGATGTTGTGAAGTAGAAAGCATGCCTTTATGCAGCAAAATCAGCGTATATAACTAAAAACCAGTAAAAATAGCGTGAAATAAACAGAAAATGTGTTTGTTAGTAAATATCTGACTCAAATAATTATAAGAGAGAATAACACCTAGAATTCATTGAATGGTTACATTTTAGGGTTTGAAAGATTTACCCCCAAAGAAACAGAAAGAAGTAAAAAAGTTCTTGCAAAAAACAGTTGAAAAATGGTAAGTGATCGTTGAGCTTAAATTAATCAAATTGTAACTTGCAAGAAACTATATATAGATCATGTTAAAGCTTCTTTTTGTGCCCCCACTTTAGTGGCGGGCAATTAGACTTACCCTTGTTCGTTCATCTGTCCTTCCGTCCATCTGTTCTCTTTTGTGTCGCACGTAACTCAAAAAGTATTTGACCTAGAGTCATGAAACTTTACAGGAATGTTGATCAGCATGTGTAGTTGTGCACCTGGGTATTTTCGTCTGGATATTTTTAGTATTTATAGAGTTATTGCCCTTGACTTAGTAAAATTTTGCAATTTTCAACTTGTGTCACATGTAACTCAAAAAGTATTTGACCTAGAGTCATGAAAATTTACAGGAATGTTGATCAGCATGTGTAGTTGTGCACTTGGGTATTTTCGTCTGGATTTATTTAGTATTTTTAGAGTTATTGCCCTTGACTTAGAAAATGTTTGCAATTTTCAACTTGTGTCAAATGTAACTCCAAAAGGATTTGACATAGAGTCATTAAACCTTATGGGAAGGTTGCTCAGCATATTAAGTTTTGCACCTGGGGTTTCGCTTGTGGATTTATCCAGTATTTGTAGAGTTATTTCCCTTGACTGAGTAAAAACTGTTTCATTATGTTGTCATTTGTTCCTTAAGTGCCTGAGAATCAACCAACTTTACAGGAATAATGATCAACATCACTAAATTACAGGAATAATGATTCACATCACTGTGAAGCTATGAACCTGGGACTTTGCATGTGGATTTTTTTCAGTTTTGTTAAGAGTTATTGCCCTTGACTTACAGTAGTATAAATTTACAATTTTCAACTTTGGGTTTGCTTGTGGATTTATTCAGTATTTGTAAAGTTCTTGCCCTTTACTTAGTAAAAGATTTTTAGTTTTCAAAAAATATTTGACCTAGAGTCATAAGATTGACAGAACAGTGGCAGGGTGGGGGCACCTGTGTCCTGTGGACACATTTCTAGTTTAATTTCCATTCACCCTGTATCAAATTTATTCGAGCATATCAGAGAAATTCACAGATTACCTTGGCCAGTTTTAGTTTCCAATATGGCCACAGCTGAAAAAATACTGAGTAGATATTGAACAGCTTTTTATCATGTGCCTTTGAAAAGATTTTCACTTATCTTTGTACATGTACACAACCTCTTCAGAACAACAGGGACAAAAACCTTCTGGAAGTATTGGTAGGACTTAACATTTTACTTCAGTAGATTATACATGTCAAGAGCATCATCTCTCGTCTTTGCCACCCACTTATGATCTCGTCTTTGCCTCCTACTTATGATCTCGTCTTTGCCACCCACTTATGATCTCGTCTTTGCCACCCACTTATGATCTCGTATTTGCCTCCCACTTATGATCTCGTCTGCCACCCACTTATGATCTCGTCTTTGCCACCCACTTATGATCTCGTCTTTGCCACCCACTTATGATCTCATCTTTGCCACCCACTTATGATCTCGTCTTTGCCACCCACTTATGATCTTGTCTTTGCCACCCACTTATAATCTCGTCTTTGCCACCCACTTATGATCTCGTCTTTGCCACCCACGTATGATCTTGTCTTTGCCACCCACTTATGATCTCGTCTTTGCTACCCACTTATGATCTCGTCTTTGCCACCCACGTATGATCTCGTCTTTGCCACCCACTTATGATCTCGTCTTTGCCACCCACGTATGATCTCGTCTTTGCCACCCACTTATGATCTCGTCTTTGCCACCCACGTATGATCTCGTCTTTGCCACCCACGTATGATCTCGTCTTTGCCACCCACGTATGATCTCGTCTTTGCCACCCACGTATGATCTCGTCTTTGCCACCCACGTATGATCTCGTCTTTGCCACCCACGTATGATCTCGTCTTTGCCACCCACGTATGATCTCGTCTTTGCCACCCACGTATGATCTCGTCTTTGCCACCCACGTATGATCTCGTCTTTGCCACCCACTTATGATCTCGTCTTTGCCACCCACGTATGATCTCGTCTTTGCCACCCACTTATGATCTCGTCTTTGCCACTCACGTATGATCTCGTCTTTGCCACCCACTTATGATCTCGTCTTTGCCACCCACTTATGATCTCGTCTTTGCCACCCACTTATGATCTCGTCTTTGCCACCCACGTATGATCTCGTCTTTGCCACCCACGTATGATCTCGTCTTTGCCACCCACGTATGATCTCGTCTTTGCCACCCACGTATGATCTCGTCTTTGCCACCCACGTATGATCTCGTCTTTGCCACCCACTTATGATCTCGTCTTTGCCACCCACTTATGATCTCGTCTTTGCCACCCACGTATGATCTCGTCTTTGCCACCCACGTATGATCTCGTCTTTGCCACCCACGTATGATTCTCGTCTTTGCCACCCACGTATGATCTCGTCTTTGCCACCCACGTATGATCTCGTCTTTGCCACCCACGTATGATCTCGTCTTTGCCACCCACTTATGATCTCGTCTTTGCCACCCACGTATGATCTCGTCTTTGCCACCCACGTATGATCTCGTCTTTGCCACCCACGTATGATCTCGTCTTTGCCACCCACGTATGATCTCGTCTTTGCCACCCACGTATGATCTCGTCTTTGCCACCCACATATGATCTCGTCTTTGCCACCCACTTATGATCTCGTCTTTGCCACCCACTTATGATCTCGTCTTTGCCACCCACGTATAATGCTACTCTGCAGATTTGGTGTAGTTATATATTTTGATGGTTTGCCCTCAAATTTCTGGTAAATTAGAAAAATGCCTTTTGAAAACATTTTTAATGGTACTCAAATATCATTATCTTCCTTTTATTGAAATTAATCTATAGTATTTTCCTTATATAGAAATAAATCTGTATGAAATCTGCCTTATTGAAATGAATGTATCGTTATTATCTCCTTTTAATGTATTTTTTTAGGTTTCCAGATGATAAGTTGCATACCCTAGACTCGGAACAAGATTGTATGCTAGTTTTACGTCATGTGACCTCACAGAAATTGAGAAATATTCACTACAGAGAAAATAGACCACATCTATTATCTGAGCATATCCAGTTTGAATTGAATCAAGATTCAGTAAGTAAATTGTTGTCAAGTTGTTTTTGTACAGTTACGTGTAATTAAATCTAAAACAAAATAAGCTTGATTTATTACCATAGAATGTGTCTGATTACTTTATACTAAACAAATATTTGTGTTCAGCCTGTCCCACAAGTTGTAGTGAAGTTCTGTACAAATCAATGAATGGGTAAATTCTGCATGCCTCTGGCAGAATTTAATGTAAATCATTTCTAAATAGATGTCCAACTGGATTGAGAGGTTTTTCTTATTTTCTTAACAAAATTTGGGGAATAGCATGTGGAAAAAAGGCCATCCACCAGTTAGGTCAACAAGTACTATTTGTTTGTTGAAACAAGTGATATGTTACAATTCTTGAATTTTAAATCTGTTCATTATTTTATATTGTGGAGGAAGACCTCAGGTGCCCCTCTGTATATTATTTCAAGCACAAACAGACATCTGAGTAGAACCATCAAAATTCCCTAAGCTAGCCGGATAGCTTATTGACATGAAAGAATCCAAAATCCCTGAAGGGATTCAAACCCACAGGCAAGTGGTTTAAAATCAAAGACCTTACCACTTGGACACGGACACCCCCTTAACCTAACTGTTCAGAAGTAAGTTTGTCTTACATATCTAGAGTTAAGATAAAAATTCCATCAAGATATCTAGCTTTGAACTAGAGTATTGTATATGCAAGAGTGTTTTTTTATTGAGAGAGAAATAAAATATTTTTTTGATTTTTTTATAGGAAACAGACGGCACTTTGAAGTTGGCTGGTTATGTTAGAGGTCAGTCAATGTCAGTAAATAGACTGGTACACATTAGTGGACTGGGTGACTTCCAGTTGTCACAGATAGATGTGCTTGATGACCCCCACCCACTAGCAAGATCAGACAAACACAAACACAAGGTTGCTAATTCACAGGTATGTGTCAGTTACTTATTGAATTTGTTAACATATTTTCATGTTAAACAGTTATTTGCATTGAGTAAATTATATTTTCCCAGTTTTTTTTTATAAATATGTGAATGTAAGTGCCAGTATTCACCAGTGCCAATGCATGGCCTAGTGGTTAAAATTTGCTTGGGCTCACACCCTGTCAGGGGCAGGCCGTTGTTTCCTTCAGCAAGAAACTTTACACTTATTGCTCAGTACTGGTTGGTTCCAGGAGTAGAATCAAGGGTGTTGTATTCTACACAAATGAAATCCTAATTTTGTATTAACTTATGTACAGACTGATCACACTCTTTTTATTGGTTGGCCAAATAATTATTGCTGTTTGGTATTGAACTTTAAATGGACAAATCTTTATTCAAGGTTTGGCAAGGCTCTCATGAATATTATCAGGATAAGTGTTAATTGTTTGGTTGAACTTCTTTTGCATGGTATATGGTGATTTTGATTTTTAGCTCATTTGTTTCCAAGTAAAAGTCAAGCTATTGTGATCACTGCATCATTGTTATTGTCGTCATGCAAAAAAAACTTCAATCTAGCCCATTATTCAAACATTTTAAAAATAGTTATCATTATAAAACTATGGAATATGTAGTTGTAATGCATGGGGGCAGAATTCTGAAAGCTATAATTTTTCGAGTTATGCCCACTTTTTTTTTAACTTAGAAGTTTTGTTAATATTTTGATAATTGATTGTCGTTTCCCTTAACAGAGGAGAATAACACCACATTTAGTGCCTTTGTTATATGCTGAGAAAAGGTTTTTAATGATATCTTTACTTATTGTTGCTAGGCAACAATTTAGATTGTTGCTAGGCAACAATTTAGATAAAATAATACATAAAGCTAATATAACAATATCAGGATGATGAGATGATGGAAGAACCAGAGAAAGTAACAGCCATGTCAGTACTGAAGCCAGATACCAGTAAACTAGAGAGCCTCGACAGCGAGGTCGTTCCTGACCCGATGGAGGGAGAACAAACCTGGCCAACTGAGGAAGAACTTGCTGAGGCTGAAGGTAGTATTATATAATAATTATTCTTTGTGTTTAAGAAGTCTTTGTAATTAGTTTAGTAAAGGAAGCACTGGGTTTATAGGCTCATCAGTTTGATACCTTTGTGCAGTATTTGTTTTTCTGATTGCTAATTTGTAGCCTTTGCATTCATGCTGTCTGACTGAAGTTGAGAATGGACAGTTCCAAAAAAGGAATCTGGACAATTTCATTTAAGAAATTCAGCATTTAAAGGGTTAATATTATTAACTTTAATGTTTGGATTGAAATAATTTACATCAGAATAATTGTAACATGTATATATAATTTTTAACATGACTATTTGATGAATATGGATAGCTATTGTACTTTCCTGCCATCAGCGTCACAATTTGGTTAAGGTTTTGCATGCAAGATAGTATCTTAAAAACAATTGAGGGGAATTGTTTGAAACTTCATACACTTGTTTGAGAGCTTAATAGGTGTACACTCCCTAAGGCCCATAATTCTTAACATGAATTTTGACAAAGATTTAACTTCTTGAACTGAGAAGATACTACCTTATCAAGGATATTGTTTTGCTTCCAAGCACTGAGAATAGTCAAGCAACTGTCCTATGGACAGCTCTTTGTTAAAATATAATCTAATGAATATCAATATTATTCAGGGAAACAGGAAAAGGTGACAAGGCGGGTACCAAAAGGAACTTCTGATTATCAGGCCTTCTGGATTGTAGACGATGAAGATGAGGTATAAAAATCTGTGTAAGAAATAATGGTTTTACTTTTAACCTGCTAGAACCAACAGTGATCAGCCTTTGCGACCAGTATAGAGCCAGGCCAGCCTGCACATCCGTGCAGTCTGACCAGGCTCTATACTGTTGGCAGCTCAGTTTTTGTATAGTTTGATATTGAAATCCCTTAAACTATGAAAGGACTGTTTTAAATTCAAAGCTGGACAGATCCATTATAGAATTATAGCAGGTCAAGGGTTAAATGTAAGAGAGGCCACAATGGCTGATAATTAAATTACTGACTTCATGTTATTTACCTGTCATCACTTTTGGTTTGAGGCCCATCAGGGACTTTTGATTCTTTCATGTGAGAAAACTATCAAGCTAGTTTTCTGAAAGTTGGTGGTTCTACTCAGGTGTCTGAATGCTCTTGTCTGAAGTAATGCACTTAAGGGGCAACTGAGACCTTCCTCCATCAACTGCTTTGGAACAAAGTATCTAAAAGGTCTTTTTTGTGACCTTAACCATATCAAGGGAATAACCTGACCTATAAAGGTTAAAGTTCATACAATAGTTGCCTGTTATCAGCAGATAGTTGTTTTGGAGTCCAAATTTAAGGTTTCTCTATCTGCATGATAAATCTTGAAAAATGGAAGTTCTATGATATTCTGATAAAAAAAAAAAACAACAGAACACAGTATTGCCTATCACACAAGCTTTACCCATCTTCTGGCCTCAATATGGCTTGTGGATGCTTCAGTGTTGTATATACAGCACCTGTTTGTATTGATTTAACAATTTATGCTTCTAATTTTACATTCCACAAATTAATTACAGGAGGGTGCTGCAGATGATGATGATGAAGATGATAATGATGCAGAGATGGCGGCCGTTGATGATGAGGTGGATGATGATGATGATGAGAGTGTAATTTTATCAGAAAGTGAGGAGGAATATGAAGATGTAAGTATACTTAAGTCACATTGATAAAATTAGTTGAAACATTTTGACTTTGAATCACCTTAATGTGTTGGGGCGTCCTTGGCCAAGTGGTTAAGGTCGTTGACTTCAAACCACCCCTCACCACTGTGGGTTGAATCCCAAAAGGGAATTTGGATTCTTTCATGTGAGGAAGCTATCCAGCTAGCTTACGGAACGTCGGTGGTTCTACTCAGGTGCCCGTTCGTGCCTGAAACAATGCACAGAAGGGCACCTGAGGTCTTCCTCCACCAGTAAAGCTTGAAACTCGCCATATGACCTAAACTGTGTCGATGTGACGTAAAACCCAATCAAACAAACAAACTTAATGTGTTACCAATACTGGTGTCTGTTGAGAAAATTGTTTGCGATTTCTGTAGGGGTCACTGACTGATGGATGGGTTGACAGGCAAACACCATAGTCACCAGTCTAACTTAATTTTAGATACTAATTTACTTTGTAATAACCTTATACACATATATAGATATACATGTATAAATGTACTTATATAATTACCTTGAATATTGATGTACATATATGAACACCTTGAATATTGTTGTACAACTTGCCTCTCACCACCGGTTTTGAATCCCGTCATGTGAGGTAGCTGTCTAGGTTGCTTATGAAAAGTTGGTGGTTCTACTCAGGTGCCCATTCTTGTATTGAATATGGAGCATGGAGGGGCACCTAAGATCTTCCTTCACCAGTAAGGGTAATTTGGAAAGTCTCCATATGACCTATACTGTGTTGGTGCAGGGTAAATCCCAACCAAAACAAAAACAATGGGATGTACATAAATAATCACCTTGAAATATTTATGTACATATATAATCTGTTTATATTACTAATGTACATATAGATCATTTTAGATATTGATGTACTTTAGTTAATCACCATAAATATTTATGTACATATATAACCTAAGATTAGATGTCCACATATAATCAACGCCTACATTGATATATGATCACCTTAAATATATCACACTGTAATGGACAGGTTTCTAACAATATAAATGATTTTGTTCACAAACATTTTCTAGGTTACTGTAGGAGAAGATAAAGACCAGAAATATGATGAGCAGATGGACTTGGCAGAAGAACAGTCTGTGTAAGTATCATTTTTACCTCTTTAATATTAATATTTAAAAAAGTTTCCGAATTTGAATACTGACTGAAGTACAGAAGTAAATCTGAAATATGATAAATTGCTCTTAATATTATATATATATAAAGTAAAGCCTTTACTTTAACTTACTAGATTTGTTTAAGCATAAGATTTGTTGGGTTCTTTTCTATGTTGATTTACTACAGGACAATATACCCAATGCTGTTCTTGTTGATCCCCTTTGTATAGAGCTGTCATGTTAACACAATACAGGGTCAATATACATTCATAACTGCTTGAAATTGTTTAAATTAAATATTTTTTTTAAAATTGTCGATAAACCATATTCTTCATTAAAACTATGCAAGAAAGTAAACTTGCTTGGATAGGAAAAAATATTTGTCATATGGTGTCGCACTAGCGCGTGAAAAGCATTGAAAAATGTTTTTTTTTTTTAAGGAAATGCAGATAATGAAATATGAAATTACTTATATACTTTTATGCAAGAATAGCCCTATTGCAGTATTTTGTGCCCTGTTAAATCTCTTTCCATATAGTTTAGGGTTTTAATGCGTCCATATGCTTCTGCAGATATTAATGCACAAAAAAAAAGGTGCATTAACCCTCATTTTCTTTTTAACCCTTTCCCCCATGAGCATATTGTGAAAAATGGCCGTTTTCACTGAAAAGCCTCCTGTTACAAGTTCAAACTGCTATGAAACTTTGAAAAATGCTCCAATATTAATCAAACTTGGCACAAATGTTGACTGGACCATTGCCTTTGTAACGACATGCTCAGTCTTAAATTTCCTGTTACCATGGCAACGAGGGGACATCTCAAAATTGCCAAAAATCACTATTTTGCCTCGATTTTTTCCATCAAAATTTATTTCAAAGTGCAGCAACTACTCAAGGGATTGAGATAGAGTCAAGGGCTTTTCAGCGTTGGTTAAACGTTACATTATGATCGATCTGGGGTCATTTTTAGCCTCTCACAAGTCCAAAATTTTCTTGCGATGAGGGGGATTGCCCCCTTCAAACCCCCCTAACAGAAAGGGGGTCACATCCCCCTTCTGGCAACCCCCTGATGTATCTTTTGGATGGGGGCGGCGCCGAAAAAGTGCTCAATTTTTTTAAGCAACAATTTCTCAAACGAAAATTATGTTTGGGCCCAAATAGGACATTTTTTCACTATTTGAGGCCTAAAAAAGGGGGGGGTCGAAAGTGCGTTGTTTCGCCGTATATATGTGGTAAAGGGTTAACAAAAAATGATGAAAAAACTTTGGAATCACCTAAAAACTAGTTTTTTCCATGTTAACATGTCATATTTCACCTAATTTTGTGTGAAAAATTGTTGTTTTTGTAACATTTTATAATTTTTAAGTTTACCCTTTCCCCATGCAGCATATTGTGAAAAATTGGCCGTTTTTTCACTGAAAAAGCCCCTGTTAACAAGTTCAAACTGCTATGAAACTTTGAAAAATGCTCCAATACTAATCAAACTTGGCACAAATGTTGACTGACCATTGCCTTTGTAACGACATGCTCAGTCTTAAATTTCCTGTTACCATGCAACGAGGGGACATCTCAAAATTGCCAAAAATCACTATTTTGCCTCGATTTTTTTCCATCAAAATTTATTTCAAAGTGCAGCAACTACTCAAGGGATTGAGATAGAGTCAAAGGGCTTTTCAGCGTTGGTTAAAACGTTACATTCATGATCGACCTGGGTCATTTTTAGCCTCTCACAAGTCCGAAATTTTCTTGGCGATGAGGGGGGACTCCGGCGGACCCCTTCAAACCCCCTAACAGAAGGGGCACATCCCCCTTCTGGCAACCCCCTGATGTATCTTTTGGGGGGGGGGGGGGGGGCGGCCCGAAAAAGGTGCTTTCAATTTTTAAGCAACATTTCTCAAACGAAAACTTATGTTTGGGCCAAATAGGAAGCATTTTTTCACTATTTGAGGCCTAAAAAAGGGGGGGGGGGGGTCGAAAGTGCGTTTCTGTTTCGCGTAAATATATGTGGTAAAAAGGTTAAATATGAAATATTTAGTCATGTTTAATATTGTTTATTACTTTTAGATTTGCCAAATTAAAGCAGGAGAGACAACATGTTATGTTCCCAGATGAAATAGATACACCACAAGATCTTCCTGCACGTACACGATTTCAGAAGTAAGTTTGTCTCACATATCGAAAATTATGTTTAAGTGCAAACTGTATTATAAGTATCAGGTTCTTTATTGAGCCAAAAGGTCAGTTACAGTGACCCTAAAGAGTCAGTAGGTCAAAGGTCAAGGTCACAGTGAATCTCATGAATTAGTAAGTCAAAGTTTAAGGTCATTGTGACTCATTGGATCAGTAAGTCAAAGTTCAAGGTCACATTGACCCTAATGAGTGATAAAGTCAAAGATTAAGGTCACAGTGACCTTCCGATATATAGTATTCATACACAGTCTGTGATATGTCACAAAGGCCAGGAACCCAGAGTGGAAAGCATTCCAAATTGCTGAGATATTTATTTACAATAAGAAATTGAATAAAGTTGAACATTTTCTCTACATTTATTGGCTTTCTAATTTAAATGAATTGTTACTACAATTTCAGAAAGACAGTCATTAAAAGTAAGCCATTAAAAATCCTTTAAGAGGAGTAAATAAATGAGCTGCGTCACGACAAAACCAACATAGTGCGTTTGCGACCAGCATGGATCCAGACCAGCCTGCGCATCCGCGCAGTCTGATCAGGATTCATGCTGTTCGCTATCAGTTTCTCTACTTGTAATAGGGTTGGTAAGCGAACAGCATGGATCCTGATCAGACAGCGTGGATGCGCAGGCTGGTCTGGATCCATGCTGGTCGCAAACACATTATGTAAGTTTTGTCGTGATGCGCTCAATTATTTCATTAACCCTCTAAACTTAAAAAAATTAACCCTCTACATGTGTAAATATCATTCCCACATTATTTGTATTGAATGACGTTAATTGTAATTTTTAGATATCGTGGATTTGGAAAAGTTTCGTTCAATGTTCACCGCTGGGATGCAAAAGAAAACCTGCCATTTTAGACTATGCTTAAAATTTTCCAGTTTTTAATAATTTTAAAAAGAATGACAAGAGAAAAGATTTTGTTCAATGAATATTTGAAGAAGAGGAACTAGATAACAGTTGTCTTGGGTAAATTTATTCTTTTTTAAAACAACACTTCATACAAGTCCTTTCCCTTTGCTTGAAAATCTTCATTGATGAATGTGCCTTTAAAAAAATTGTTTTTTGTTCACAAGAACTGAAGGGTTTAGAAAATAATTAGGCATTCATAACTTGGGTTTTTGCATAAATTTTGTGGATTATTGCCCTTTGGGGTAATTTTTTTCATTGGCTTAAATTTTTGTCCAAGGGGCATAACTCAAAATTTTAGGGTAGCTTTCAATTAAAAAGCTTCAAAGAAGGATTAGATTGCCATAGACAAGATTTGGTTTTTGCATAAATTTGGAGGTTATTGCCCTTAGATTAATTTTTTCACACTTAATATATTGGTCCACAACATGAAAAAAACTCCACTGGGTTCAAAGAGACGAAAAGATAAAATTTAAAATTCTTACATAGATCAAGTAAGATCAAAACAGAAAAAAATCTTTAATAGATGATCTAAAGAAAAACATCATAAATTAAAATTGAAAATTCACAGCAATTAATCAAAAATATAAAGTCCTGTCCACTGAAAATCACGTAAATAGGATTGTATTATAACAGGCATTTTATATCAGATATGGAATAATTAACCAAACATCTTCAGTTTAAATTTTGGATATTGAATGATGTTAACTTTATCTTTTCAGGACATGGGACGATTGAGGTTACAGAATAGCAAATTTCCTAAAAATCAATTCAATGGGTGAGTAAAATACAAGCCCTTATTTGTGTCCACACAAATTTCGGGTAAATTTATAAACTTAAAAATTAAATTGACCAAACATAAAAGACCTAACAGTATGAACAATGGCTGTTTTTTGGTTTGAAAACTACAATGTAATTAATGATTCAAACATGTCAGTTTTGCATCAAGGGAAAAGGTCGTTATTGTTCTTTTTTCCAGAACAAAAAACTCATTAGTTTGTGTTTTTTTTCCAGAAATTTTATTTATTAGTTTTTAAGGATAAATTTTTTAAAAAATCAGTTTGGGACAAGATTACAATTCAATTTTATAAATGTGTAGAAAAATTTATTTAACATAGAGATGTATTAACTAAAATTTGATTGGAGGTTTTTAAATGTTAATGTGTTATTGATTTTAAACAGACAGGCATGAGACTGGTGCACCACAATTGTTGTTTTGGTTTTTACCACATGAAGAAAAATGTTCTGTTCATTAATTTTTAGTTCTTCGGAAGTCACATGACCTGCAATCGGACCAATCAAATCAAAGGATAAAACTTATCTCCACATTGGTTGCAGACGATTAAGCTAATCCAATATTTCTCAAACATACAAATGGCAAACAAACACAAAGTATGTTTATATTAATTTCCTACAGCTTATTTATATTTTAATATTTATATAGCTTCATCTGATATAAATAAATGATATACATAATAATGTGTGTTTGCATCAATACAGTTTTAGAGGTTTTTTTTTATTTATATGTCAGTTTGAGAGGTTAATTTATTAAAAACAGTTTCGGAAGGATAGTTATTTATATTTTTTCCGCTGTATTTTGAGTTAGGTTTTTTTTTTATTTATATTCGTGTTGAGAGGTTTAGTTTAATATAACAGTTTGAAAAGTTTAGTTATATTTACACGTTTGAGAGGTTAATAATTATATTACAGTTGGAAAGGTTTTTGTTATATTACAGTTTGAGAGGTTTATGTTATATTATAGTTTGAGAGGTTTATATTATAACAGTTTGAGAGGTTTATGTTATGTTATAGTTTGAGATGTTTATGTTATATTACAGTTTAAGAGGTTAATGTTATATTACACCTGAAGAGGTTAATGTTTTATTACAGTTGGAGAGGTTTAAACTGTATAACATTTGGAGAGATTTATGTTATATTATAGTTTGATAGGTTAATTTTATATTAGAGATTGAGAGGTTAATTTTATATTACAGTTTGAGAGATTTATGTTATATTACAGTTTGAGAGATTTATGTTATATTACAGTTTGAGAGGTTTTTGTTATATTACGTTAAGAGGTTTAAAATGTAATATATTAAATAGTTGAGAGGTTCGTATATTATAATACAAGTGAGAAGTATATTATAACAATTTTGAGAGGGTTTAAATGTTATATTGCCAAGTTTAGAAGGTTTATCCCCAGGACACAGCTGTTTTTTATGTACCATTAAATTTGCACCAATTTTCCTTTTCCCCCGGGCACCAGTACTTGTTTTCCAAAGATGGGGCCCTTTTGGGTAGAAAAAAACTTTTAAAAATTTACTTTTTCCAAACTGCATTTTCCCTTGTTTTCAAAGAAATGCCGTTTTTTTTAAATTGAAAAAATGCGGGGTATTTTTCATAAAATGGATAAATTAAATTTTTCAAAGAAAATTTAAGATCTTTAAAATTTTTTTTTTTCATTATGAGAAAAGCTTTTCCATTACTTCAAAGGGTTCAGTGGTTCTTTAAAATGCTTTTTGGGTGCAAGAAAGGGATTGCATTCAAGGGGGAAAAGTTCCCAATGAAATTTGCAGTATAAAATATACAAAATTTCATGGAAAAAACAAAATCAAGCTATTTTTAAGAAAAACAAATTTTTTTAATATTTAATAAAAAATTAAATGTACATGGGGGTTCAAAACCTTTTTTCCCATTTTTTTTGTCACATTTGAAATTTTAAACCTGGTTTGTTAATTTTAAATTTTAGAATGAAACTCTTTTAATCTCATCATGGGTTATGAAAAAAACATACTTCCCCCCCCTCTTTGTTAATAAAAAATTTTAAAGACCACTTTTTTTAACATTTTAGGTGAGATAAAATTTGGTTGCAAAGGGAATTTTATTACAGAAACCCGACAGAATTTGTTTTAACGTGCTGAAACTTAGTGGCCACCTCAAAAATTTCACAAAAGTCTTGTGTTGCAGATATATTTTCTTTAATAGGGGGAAGCCCCATTTGGTATTTTTATTGTCAGATAAAACGTTTGGTTCATGAATATAGAGAAGTGATATTATTTAAATTTTATAGTTTTTTAATTTTAAAAATTTAACATAGAGAAAATAAATAAAAAAAAAGGGGATCATGGGGTTTGTTTATTGAAGGGGTGGGCAATAAATCCCTTTATAATTGAAAACATAGGGAAATTTTAACTTTAATTAAATTCATTAATGGAACAATTTATGGGAGTTTGAATGGGGAGAGATTAATTTTTTTTAAATTTGAGGAATAAAAAAGGGAAAATAGATCATCGTAGCTGTTTTTATTATAAAAACTTTTCATTGTTACATGAAAATTTAACCAATTCAACAAAAAATAACATTTGAAACAACTATTTTTCTAAGTATTGTAAAATAATCAAAACTTATTCAATTTTAGTGCCCCAAAACGATTCTTTTTTTTTTATTTTAAAAAGGATATAAAACGGTTTTAAAAAAACCAAAAAATTACACAAAGAATGGGGAAAGGGAAAGAGGCCCAATTATAAAAAAAATTGGGTTTAAAAAAATTATAGTAAAATTTTTTACTCTTAAAAATTTTAAACTTTTGGGCCCCTGTATCCCCTTTTTCTTGGAAGGATTTAAACCCTTTTTAACCAAAATTTGAACTGAAAAATTACCCAAATTCTCCCCCATATAAGCTGGGTGAAATTTTATGACCATTCTTGCTTTTTTGGTTAAAAGGTTTAAAATTTTTTATTAGATATCCCCCAAAAAATAAATAATTAAACAGGCCCAAAAAGGGAAGCTGGACAAGTTTTTTTAAAATGTTTTAAGTTTTTTTTAATTTTTTAATATTGTGGGGGTTCCCAAAGCCCCCAGGAAAAATTATTATTTCATAAAAATTTAAAAATTTATAAAGAAAAAGTGAAATTTTTAATATTTGCTTGTTGCTGGAAATCCCTTTTTGGGGTAAAAGGGGTGCGGGTAAAGGACCCGGGGGTTTGGGAAACCCGGGGGTTTCCACCAATAAAAGATGAAATATAGCCATATTTTTGATTTTAAAGAACAGTCTGAAT